TAACATAATTATCGTTACAACAAACGATAAAAAACAATAAGTGCGTTACATACGAATCGTCCGCGATCCAGGGCAGCAGCCCCAAGGCGTCATCGCCGGACAACATAATGATCGTTACAACAAACGATAAAAAACAATAAGTGCGTTACACGCGAATCGTCCGCGACTCAGGGTAACATCCCCAAGGCGTTGTCGCGGGTATCTCCATCGCGAGTGCGAGACATTGTGATTTGTGGCGTATTCTGAGACTGAACAATAAACAAATCTATTCACGAACAACACAACTTGTTTATCACGCGAAAAGACAGCGCGAACACGAATACTGTTCGTGTTGATACTGAACAAATACTTTAAGAATTTATGAGGAATTATTTGTCATGCGCGAGTATCCGCTAACCGCCATCCGGACGTTCTTATGCAGCGTGTTACCACGTGCAATATTTTGTGTGCGTAACGTTATGTGCAATTAATTTTGTGCAATAGTTCTATTGTGTAAAAGAAAGAATCGAACGACGAGAACCGAAACGGAAGAATCATCCGATTGTCAACGAGCTTGGGTTGAGAGTATCTCACTGTTGAGTGAGAAATTATGTATAATAATGGTGTAATGTTGCTGCATATTAGATGTGTACATACATTGGGTAAATATTTTGTAATTCTCTTTGTTCTAACACTATTCCCCTTGAATTCATAAAGTTTACATTTATAGAATTCGAGATTAATACTTTAAGAAGTTGTCAGGAAAACGATTTATGGTGCATGTAACTTCCTCTGTTACTCTTATTGTATTCTTCTATGAATTCCTAAAGAATTACAATTCAGAAAAAAGAAAACTTAAAGAATACTTTGTGAATTCAGTGTGCTATATGGGTATGCTATACTCTGATTAAATGTAAGATGTTTAATTTTTATTTTAAAAAGTGATTATTGTGTAACGGGAACATCTTTCAAATCAATATCTGAATGAGAAATTATTGAAACTTAATTAAATACATCTATTAAATATATCTAAACACATCAGTCTTCATTTGTGACAGTTATCATACAATGTTAATCTATTTGATTTTGATTGGTGCATTACGAAAGCCTCGTAATTCTAAGCTTACGTACAAAGAAATCGGTAGAAGATACAGATTTGCTCCGACTTCGGGTCCTGGCAAGAACCGCACGATATTTTTGAAAGCTGCCAGAATCAACCACCGAATTGGATCTAAACCTTTGCGAATTAGAAGGTGGTTCTAGCTTGTCAGTTTGCTGTCCATTCGTATATTTTTTGGGTTCCGTCGAAGTGTGTTCGGTATATCTTGCCTAGAAATATAAAGATTGATGTTATTTATTAATTATCAATTTTTCTGTCGTAAAATTACTTTATAAAGCTGTGTTCCGATATTCATTGCTAGTATTGAAAATCTATAGTTCACGTACGGTATACACTATAGATTTTCTGTACTGGCAATGAATATCGAAACGCAGACTAGATAAATTCCAGCAAATGATTTCAAAAGCAAAAGCTAAATATATAAATAACGAGAGGAAAGAAAGGAAAATAGAAAGGAGACAAAGGCATATGAAATTAATATTAAATACATTATGCGAATAATATTATCAAAGATGATCGAAGCGATTATGAGATTTTCCACATGAGGTACCATACGGGTTCCTCATTCTTTTTTAAAACGTTCGAAAATAGAGAGTAAAACGCTCTTAATTAGAAATTGAGATACTTATAAAAATATTTAATATACTCCAATTATTATTTGACCCTCTCGTTATTTATATCTTCACAAACCTAAATCTGTCAATACAGAACGATAACAGGAAAGTAACACACATTTATCCGATAATAACTGCAATGAAACGTGTAGAAAATATCATAGAGATAGATTCTCCAAGAGTGTTGAATACTGAAAATAATTGGAAACTTTTGACGAAGTTCTTTTTACAACTTTTTACACAGTTTACTTTTTATCCATTAATGAGGAATGTTCTGCAACAGAAATTTCACGGTGAAATAATTTCAATAGCAAAATAATTTTTTCACTAGCTTTTCAGTACCAAATCTCCAAACGTATTACAGTTTTCTCGGAAGATAATTGCTTTATTAGAAAATGGCCTCGTTATTTGTATTATTAAAAAATTATATACATGCGAAAACTGTCACTTTTCTATTACTCGATCTACGGCCGGCATTCATAGTCCGTTCTTATTTCAAGATCATCTTATTGAATAATATTTTAAGATTTTTATGTAATTTATTAATTAATTAAATTTAATTAATTAAAAATAATGAAGTAACATTTTAAGAAGGTATATTTCATCTATTAATATAAATAAAATTTCAAGTCTCAATCGACCTCAGCTGGCTACGTTTATTAAATACGCTTTCACAACGTTTCGACCTTTGGTTTAGGTCCTTATCAAGTGAGATCTAAGAATAAATGTTTTACGTACGGATTACGTGAGAATTATAAAAGAATGGTACAGTATCGCAGAATGACTCTTAATACTGAATTCCGTTCCGCCCCCATTTATTAGATCTCACTTGATAAGGATCTAAACCAAAGGTCGAAACATTGCGAAGGCGTATTTAATAAATGTGGCCAGCTGAGGTCGATTGAAACTTGAAATATTTCAAGACACTGACGTGGCTATGTACGCATGCTTGTAACGTGCTTGTAACGCATTAAGATAATACATTAAGATGATCTTAAATATAAGAACGGACTACGAATACCACCCTATATCGTTCTGCTTCTGTTCGTGCAGTTGCTTCCTGTCAGCTATTGAAGCAATTGACCTTGACCGCTAGATTTTCTTACCTGCGGATGAAACCCCGAACCGTCTTCATTTTACACATCCTATTTTAAGGAGTAAGACGAATCGCAAATAAGCAAATCGCAGGTGTATTCTAATATTTTTGTTGGCACAATTATATCGAGGCCCACTGACATTATTCTAATGTCAAAATGACAAATAACATTAATTTGCTATCTAGATAAGGGATAAAGGAGACAGAATGCCACCCGTTGTTTGCTATTACTTTATTTGTTATTAACGAGATGCTGGATAGTTCGGGCAAAATAATCGCCTATCGAGCGAAAGATACCCCATACTGTCTAAAAAACAGATGTCTAAAAGACATCTTTCAGACATCTGTTTTTTAGACAGTACATATCTAAAAGACAATTTAAAGACGTCTTAAAGATGTCTTTTAGACATGCGTGCTGTATGGGACGAGTTCGTTTCTAGATACTTCGTTAAGCGCTAGAAAAAATATGTTATTCTACTTTGCAAGGGAACAAGAACGAATTCAAGGCAATTTGGGGTATAAATTATGCATAAAAGCGACTTCCTCTCCGATTTGTTTTATTTTTAAATATGTTGTTGGGGATGTCTTCCCGAGTCATTTCATATATATATATAAGGGGGGGACTCAAATAGTTTCGGAGATACAGGCTGAGAAAGGATACAAATAATAAATATGGTAATTATGCG